AATAACCTAAAATTCTCTTTCATCAAAACATAGTGATGTTCAGTTTCAGATATTTCCCCCATAAATATTATTTATTTTGTCAAATAAATTGGCCTCAAAGGGTAGAATGGCAAGGTCTTCCAGTAGAGTCGTCCATAGTTTAGGTGGGAATTTGAAACTTAAAAAAAGGTTGAGGGTCATGAGAGACAGAAGGAGGTTTATGCAAAAGAATGTGAATAGTCCCAGCAAGTTGAGCGTGGAGAAAATCTTCTGAGGAAAAGGGAACATGATAGGCCAAGTGAAGGGAAAAGAAATATATACAATTAGAAATGGATTCATGAAATGTAGATGCAACAAAGGTCTTTAATAGATAATGTTTGTGAGCCACTACCCAAACCCTTGCTTAAACTACTGAGAAGTCATCTGAAGCAACTAATCAGTTATAGTTTATGATATATTAAAGTGCATAAAACTTACTGACCTTAAGTAATGTCTTGTATAATAAAAGGATTTTTAAATATATTAATCCAGTAAAACAATTGCATAGTTTTATTTGGGAATATTCTTGGTAGGTATAGTCTTTCCATTTTACTAGTTAACCCCCCAAAATACGTGTAAGTAACGAAGTGTTTTAAAAAATATAACACCAAGCTTCAGATTTATTGCTTTCAGTAGAATATCTCTTCTGTTAATTTTACTTAAGTAATTAGTGTAAAAGAATGTCACCTAGGAGGCTTCTGGGATAGCTTCGTGGATCCTCTGCCTACAGTGACTCAAAAAAAAAAAAAGCATGACTTTTTAATTTTTAAGAGCCTCTGTCCCATGATATTTAATAGAATATTCCCCTTCCATCTTCAATCTTCAAGAAGGGCCTATATAAATATACCCTGGGACTTCCAGAAGAGGTAGACTTTTAAGCACTATGTAGAACAGAGTTCAGAGTTATTTTGGACCTCCTCACATTGTCTGGTTACCTCTAGCTCAGTCTCAGTGTTTTAGTCTTTCTGTGTCTTATTCTCCCTCATTTTAGTCCTTCAGCCCTCTACTTCCTTCCAGCTCAGCCCTATGTCATGGTAATAAAGAACTAGCCAAGTTTGACTCATGTATGTGTTCTTTTAGCTGAATCATTCCTACAATTATAAAAATTATTCAAGGCCGTATAATTAAACTCTCCCTCACCACTAAACCAAAGAATATAGTCAAAGATTATGTCCATAATGGTCCATGTAATGACATAAATTATATTTAACTTAGTTTATCTGAGGAAGGAAGAAATAGTCGGAGTAACCTCAGTGAAAATACAGTCCTTCATACCTGATGCACACAGGTCAGAGACCTGATACAGCCAAGACTTTTGATTATAAAGCCTTATTTAAAGACAGATTGTATCATATAATGTCCTTTGGATGATCTTATTCTTGCATTTCCATACTCCACTGTAGCACCCCCAAGAATTCATCATGATGGAAGGTTTCATCTTTCCTCTAAATCCACCACAACTCTCCATGCTCCTGATGAACTTATTACCATCCTGTTCATACAAACTTGAGAATTTTTAGCCAGAAAATGAATGGATGGTTCTAAGAGTTTGATCACATTCATGACCAACCTTTTGGTCAACTAAGAGTACCAGTACCAAATAGGCCTGTTACCCCACTTCATGTGACTCATTTCCATTATCTTATGCCTTTGTTTTTACATCCAGAGACCTATCTTACAGGAGATAATTGCATGCAGTCAGGATTTAGTTGTTCTGTATAACTCAAGCTAATCCATATCTCTTATAAGGCCAAATTAATAAACCAGAATCACATGCCAGGTCTTTCTGTGTGGCAAAAGTCATTTTGGGCTGTACACTGAATTGTTGCTTCTGAGTTTCTAGTACTCCCCATAGCAGGTCACAGAAGATTGGTTATGATTCAGACCTTCTGCTTGTTGCACTCATTAAAGGATGCCAAACCTGAACCAGTTCTAACTGTGCTGTAAAGCACATTTCATTTTGTGGGCCAAGTCCAGCCAATAGAGATAAAACTTTAGGCTCTCACAGTATGGTTGACTATATGACTTGAAAGCCCTCTGCTAAAACATGTAGCAAATTAAGATAAAACATAGCAAACATTTGCTTAACTGCACTGGGGAACTAGCAAAAATATTAAAATATTGCCCAGGGAGAAAAAAGGGAGTTGAAAACCAAACCAGTAAGGGCATAAGCCACCGCTACCCCTGAGCTTCAGAGTTGGGTCTCGGTACCCATCCCAGGAAAAAGATGCTCTTCTTTTGCCTGGGAACAACATCCATTTAAGTTAGTCTGCTTTGTTTGTTTCCCAATAGCCATGGCCAGTTGATTTTAAACTACCATGATCCTCAAACAGTTTCACCCTTGCTTCTGTGGATACCAGTCTTCTTCAGGAAGGGTGAGGGGCTTGGCACGTTTACAAAGCTGCTTAACCAGCTTATCAGATTAAACACATGCTCTCTGTTCCCTCTGGCCCTACTCACCTGGCATGCCCATCACTCGAGCCATGTGAGATACCTGCTAAACAAAGAGGGATCGTCATTTGTGTTGTCCAAACCTTGTAATGCTAGTTATACTTAGTTTTGTAGTTTCATGCTTTAATATTAAAGAAGCAGATGAGTGTGAAAAGAAGGAGCAGTGTAGTTTCTGTGAAACCCAAGTTCTGTGCTTTGCAAAGGAAAAAAATAATGTACCAATTAAAATGTGAGCAAAACAGCTGTAAAAGACTGCGCTGGAGGAAAAATATAAAAATCTAGATGGGCCTAACACTGTATGTTAACTATACTGGAATTAAAAGTAAAAACTTAATTTATAAAATCTAGAAGGGCCATCAGACAGTAAGTTTATGGAAAGAACAGAGAACCTCAGTCAGTCTCAGTCCGGTTAATTGCTTTGTTCCTTGTTTAAGCAGGACAAGAATTTAAAGACACGTGGACACTCGCAAAGCAGTATGGGTACAGAATCCTGCAGACACCTGCTTGTGAGACACCAGGTTCTCTATAAAGCGCCCTTCACGCATTCTCTGCTATTTCACTCCACAGCCTCAGCTAAAGGGACAGTCTATGAGTGCAGAGAACATTAGTAAAAAAATAAATGTATTACAATATAATAATGAAGCAGATAGGTTTTGGGGCAAGCCACACCTATTTTGAATTTTAAGACTGAATTTTGCTATTTGTCCTTAGGTAAGTCGTGAAACATATCCAATCCTATTAGCTTAACAGACAATAGAGATAATACTACTACTACTACCTTGCTCCTGAAACTTTTGTGAGAATTAAATGAGATCATGTTTGGGGAGGAGTGCATGGCACTATGTCAGATTTCAACATTAGTGTTCTAGAAATAACAGCGGTTAAGATTCCATTGTTTAGCTTTTCTAAAACTTGCTCTTTGAAGACCTGTCTGGTTGGCTTTCAAAAGCCGTCTCTGGTTCTTTCTGAATTGGCTGCATTAGTGATGTGCAAGTTGCCTATGTTAGTTTGCTATGGCTGCCATAACAAAATACCAAAGACTGCGTGACTTAAACAACATAATATTTTCCCACATTTCTGGAGGCTAGAAGTCCAAGATCAAGGTGTCAGCAGATTTGGTTTCTTCCGAGGCCTGTCTCCTTGACGTGCCTTCCTGCTGGGTCCTCACATAATCATTCCTCTGTGTGCACGCATACCCCTGCTGTCTCTGTGTCCAAATTTCCTCTTTTTATAAGGACACTAGTCAGATTGGATTAGGGCTCACCCTAATGGCCTCATTTTAACTTAATCACCTATTTAAAGACTCTATCTCCAAATACAGTCGGTTCTCAGACTAGGGGTTGGGCTTGAGCATGAATTTTGGAGGGGATACAATTCGGCCATAACATTGCCACAAATAAAGTATTTTCCACTGCATTTTCAAATAACCCTTTTAAAGAATAAGAGCCTGAAAAAAATAAAAAGAATAAGAACCTAAATAATAAGTATGGTTGAGGGATTTTAAGATAGAGTCTAGCCACTGAAATGCTATAACCTAGCAGGATTTTCTATATATGACCTATATAACAAGTTTACTTATTATGCCTAGAAAATATTTAAAAGGTTTAAGGCTTTATAAAATAATATACAATATTTATATGTATAGTTTATATATAACATTTGTAAAATATGGTCTCTGGTAATAGGCTACAAATAGTTTATAAAGCACATGGTTGAAAAATATCTGTTAGTCATTGAGCAAGGGGTTAGGAAAACATTTACGTGTGTACCATAGGAATATATTAAATGAAATACTTATTAACTGAGCACCTGTTCAAGTAAGATCACTAGGCCAAAGATTAGGGACAAACCAGAGAAGTACTTGCCCTTGAGGGGTATTGATCTACTTGGGAAAATTCCAGAAATGTCACCAATGAGCTCATTTAATTGCCAGTTAAATGCTCAGTGTAGACACTGAGGCCTGTGTGTTCACAATCACCTCTGAAGCCAAGAGTGATGGCTTCCATACGGTTGTGAGAAAGGAAAGTGAAAATCCGAAAAATAGGTCCAGAGGTGTCTCACCATCGGAACAAATGGAAAGAGAGAGACTCCTGAGGAAGTACTGTATAGCAGCGAAGTGAGGAAAGGGTGCTCAGAAAAACATCTGACCAAGAACAGTTTCAAAGAAGCCCACCTCCTCAGTTCAGACTAGGACAGAGATGTGTTCCACCCTATGAAGAAGTTAAGTAGGATTTTGAAACTGAGGACTGTATATGCTGGTTGCATATACATATTTTTGGAATGAGTACAAATAGGATACCCATGATTAGAAAACATGGGAGGCAGGTACCAGCAGGCACTTATGAGAGATCCTTACCATGAAGTGAAATGCAAGAAAAACCTTCATTTACCAAAGGAAAGAGGTCTCACTTCTTTACTTCATCCTCACCCTTAAAGAATATTTTGCTTCCTGTAAACTATGGTAATGACCAATATGATTGAAATGTAACTTGAGAAAATCCCTTGTTTAATGTGTATCTTTATTCTTCTAGGCCTCTTTTTCGTGGAAGTTCAGATGTTGATCAACTTGGAAAAATCTTGGAGTAAGTATTAACTCTAATTTTACATTAGCGTCTGTAGCATTAAAACATTTACAGTGCCTTTCATATAAAATGATTATCTCTTGTCTTTCCTACCCCCAAGCTGCTGCCTCAGACAGTGTTACTATTTGTGTGGTGAGTGGGGACATGGCCGACATGCTGTTTTATGCAGAGCCCATCATGACGTGTGGCCTGTCTGGGCTCCGCTCTGGAAGCTTGTATGTTGCTCGTGTGGATCTTTTCGCTAATCCTCCTTCTACACTTGGCTGAGCTCCAGTTCTTTAGTTCAGATGTGTTGTCTGTTTGGGGCCGTTTCAGATGCATCCACTGTCAGAGGTGGGGCGCTTGGAAGCCTGGTAACCCATTCTTGCTCACCAGGCTTCCTGTCTGCGTTGAGTATTCTTTTGTTATCCAGACTGGTTTTGCATTGTTTTGTTTTCCTGGGCAAAAGATGGTATGCTAGCAACCCATTTTTCTTTGGAGCACCGAAATAGAAAATGAGAATCCTAGATTCTAACCCTATATCTGTTGCTAAATAACTATGCAATCTTCAGAAAGTCCTTTAAAATGCCCCATAAAGTGTTTACACAGTGCCTGGTACATAGTGAATGCTTTAAAAATGGTAGCTATTATTATAATTCATCATTAATTGTTTAACCTTTTTGTTCCTTAATTTCTTCACCTTAGTAATGAAACTTTGGACGCAAATTCTAAGAACGTTTCTTGTGCTTCACATTCTTTGGTTCTAATTGTCTGTTACTTGGCTTGTTGATGATTTGCACAGTTCCATTCATGTCTACATGTTTGTGCATGTGGGGGTATGTATGCTTTCATGTTTCTAGAATATTAAGAAGGGGCTTTTCCTCTCACAAACCATGGACTATGGCATCCTTTTGCGATATGTGCTTTTGCCAAGCGCCTATCAGAATTGGAGGGAAGTAGGGCATCCTGGTGGCTCAGTCAGTTAAGCATCCAACTCTTGATTTCAGCTCAGGTCATGATCTCACTGTTTATGAGGTCAAGCCCTGTATTGGGCTCTGCGTTGACAGTGCAGAGCCTGCTTGGGATTCTCTCTTCCCCTCTCTCTCTCTGCCTCTTTCTCTCTCTCTCTCTCTCTCAAAAATAAATAAATAAACTTTTAAAAAAAGGAATTGGGGAGAGTAAGAAAAAAATGGGAATTCTAGAACCAAAAATAGCCCTGATCGTTGGTCTATAACGTTTTATAGGAATCCCAGTGATTTTTATGATATTTTCAGTCCATCCATAAAACTGATGAAAAGTATCCCTAAAGAATTATATTTTAACACTGTCTGCTCAAGCATGACTGCTTAAAACAGTTGAATAAAACTGGAACTTGAGTTTCTTCTTTTATTTATTTATTTTTTTAAATGTTTTATTTATTTCTAGGAGAGAGAGGGAGAGAGACAGCGTGAGCAGGGGAGGGTCAGAGAGAGAGGGAGTCACAGACTGAAACAGGCTCCAGGCTCTGAGCTGGCAGTCAGCACAGAGCCCGACGCGGGGCCCGAACCCACGAACTGCGAGATCATGACCCAAGCGAAAGTCGGACGCTTAACCGACTAAGCCACCCAGGCGCCCCGAGTTTCTTCTTTTATTGACTAGAAAGCTTCATGAGGCTTCCATTAGTGCTGTTGCCACTGCTAAATCGGAGCCCAGTGGCTTTAAGGCCTGAAAAATATTTGCTGATTTCATTGCCTGGGGCTTCCCAGGTCAAGGGAAGCTGCCAAGACTCCCACTCCTCCTCTTCCTCCCTCTCCCACCCCTCCACCTCCTACCTCTACTACAGCGTAAACAGTGGCTATTACTGTCACCCCATAAGGTGGACAGATTCAGGACAAAACTCATGTTCTCTACCCTTCCCCAGAACGGTTGAATATATTTTGTGTGCAGTGCGGTGCAAACTTGAAGCAGGAACTATGAAAGTCAGACCTACCAGTGACTCTCTTAAAAGGAAAAATGATCATGACCAAAGCCAGCTTGCCAGACATTGAAACCTGTCACCACCTTTCCCTTACTGACACCACTTAGGTGCTCTGTCAAGCCCTGGGGTCTGCAAACTTGTTAGCACTCTTAGTGCCCCTTAGTATCTGAAGCCACTGAGACAGACCCAAAAGAACCTTTGACAGCCATGTCTGACTTGCTTCCAAGGGAAACCCTAGGTTGCCAGCAAAAAAGAAGCCATAAAGTTCTATATGTATTGTGCCTTCAGATTTTACTTCTTGGCTTCTGGCGTTGTTTCGCTGAAATTATGTTCTGTTTACTCTGCGTTTGTTACTTTGGCGTAAAGAAAAGGGACAATGCTGCACCCTAGTGTCATTTCTAAAGTACTTGAAAAATGATTTCTGTTCCCACTGCCATTTATAGGTTTTGTGCTCTGTCAGTCTTTCCAGTACAAATGTCAACTTTTAAGGCATATATTCAGCTGTCCAAATACTGAAACTTGATGCAAGCACTTGTTAATGGACCTATCAGAATTTCACAACACTCATATATGGGCCATAAAAGTTCATACTGGATATTAAACTGAAAAAAAATTTTTTTTGAGGCAAGCCACATTCACATTCTCTTAAGGGGAGAAATGTTTCTGCATTTAGAGAGATTTATACTTTCAAAGAACAGCAAGTACTTTGAAAGTGAAACTGAATGCTTTTAGCTCGTGACATTTTGGAGCATTTTTAGGAGCAGAGTCATAGTTAAATGGAAACAAAATACTGGATTTGGAATAAGGAGAATTGGGTTCACTCGAGCTCTGTGGCTGAACTCATTGTATGTGACTTTGGCAGCTGATTTCACTCCTCTCCTTAGTTTCCACATCTATAAAAAGGAAGTAATAGCTGACTTACATGTCTCAGGAGGTCGTTATGAGATCAGAGGAGGTGATAGGTTTAAAAATATTTTTGAAAGTTATTTATATAGGTAGCTATGTATATATACATATATAATTATACATCACATATACACATACATACAGAGACACTGTTTCTTTAAGGGCTTTTGGCATTCAGGTGCCCATATCACCAGATTTTTTTCAACATAAGTATATTCAAAGCTGCAAATAAAAAGATGTTAAATTATTTTAACTGTAAGTCAGTTACAGTTGACTTCTAGATGATTGTTGATGATATGCAAAAAATGATACACAAATGGCTAAAAAGCTGAAAATGAAAGGAAGAATGTTTTTAAAGTTTTTAATAATTATTCTTTTTTTTCTTCCTCTGCCTATTCCATTCTATCTAAACATACACATTTATATCCTTTAACAATCAATAGTGCTATCTTTTTTTCTCTTTCCTCTTATTCTAGATCCTGCTATTAAGCAAATTTGCATGTTGCCTAAGTTGTCATTTCCATTCATTTGTTCCGGTGAATATGTCCAAGAATCTGTCTTTACTTACCTCAACAACATGGCTTTCCCAGCATGTCCCACAGATAACAGGCATACAGTGTCTTTCCCCAGACACCCAGTAACAGGTGCAATTATAGTACGGGTGTTTGCTCATCCCAGGTGAGGTCTGTGACCTGGGCTCTGTTGAAGTAAGGGAAGGAGGAACAGAGCCTTACAGACAGCCTGTGACTTTCACCACCATGTCTTCCTGAAACCTGAAAATCCATTCAGGAGAACATACCTTAGGACCTTGGTCCCAGACCAGCACCATTTCTAACTGTAGTTAAAATAATTTGGTCAGGGGGCACCTGGCTGGCTCAGTTAGTAGAGCATGTGCCTCTTGATCACAGGGTTGTAAGTTTGAACCCACGTTGGGTATAGAGATTACTTAAAAATAAAATCTTAAAAAAAAAATAGTTTGGTCAATTTGAAAGCCATATGCTCTGTCCACTAAATTAAACATTTTAGTTTAGAGTTAATCACAGCCTTTAAGTGAGATGTAAGTTCTTGCGTCCCTTGTTTAAACCTACTTAGTATCTACACATAAACTTTAAATAATATCTCTATAGTGTATAAACCACTAACATTAATATTTCTGAAGAACCTCAAGTCACATATCAATAGGACTCAAGCAGTTCATATTTTTAGTGTGGTAGCAATGCATTGCCCACATATTTTAGATGAATAGCATTATTTTCCTCTCATGATAATTAATAATAATGGATATTGTATTGATATTGACAAGTACTGTTTATCGGGCACTGTGCTATGCACTTTATATAAATTATCATTGTAAATTATCATTTTTTCCTTTTATTTGTTTATTTTGAGAGAAAGAGCATGTGTGCTTGATCAGGGGAGAGACAGAGAGAGAGAATCCTAAGTAGCCCTCACACTTAATGCAAAGCCTTAACACGAGGCTCAGTCTCACAGCCGGGAGATCATGACCCGAGATGAAATCAAGACTTGGATGCTGAACCAACTGAACCACCCAAGTGTCCCTAAATTATTGACATTAAAAAAGAAAGAGGAAAAGGCAGACTGGGGCACCTGGGTAGCTTAGTCGGTTGGGCGTCCTACTTTCGCTTAGGTCATGATCTCGCAGTTCGTGGGTTCGAGCCCTGCGTCGGGCTCTGTGCTGACTGCCAGCTCAGAGCCTGCAGCCTATTTCAGAGTCTGTGTCTCCCTCTCTCTCTGACCCTCCCCTGCTCATGCTGTCTCTCTCTCTCTCTCTCCTAGAAATAAATAAAAATATTTTTTAAAAAAATTAAAAAAAAAAAAGAAAGAGACTGAGAAAGAAGCTAACTAATTTGTCCTTAGCTACCAATTAGTGGTAGGTGCAGAATTTGAACCTAGGTCTGCCTTTTCCAAAGCCTGTGCTATTTTTTTTTTTTAGGTTACTTTTTGTATTTGAGTGTAGTTGACACACAATGTCTGTGCTGTTTCTTTTCTTTTTTTTTTTTTTAATTTTTTTTTTAATTTTATTTATTTCTAGGAGAGAGAGAGACAGCGTGAGCAGGGGAGGGTCAGAGAGAGGGAGACACAGACTCTGAAACAGGCTCCAGACTCTGAGCTCGCAGTCAGCACAGAGCCCGACGCTCGGCTCGAACCTATGAACTGCGAGATCATGACCTAAGCGAAAGTCGGACGCTTAACCGACTAAGCCACCCAGGCGCCCCTGTCTGTGCTGTTTCTATGTCATTCGATCCTCTCTCCACATTTCTGATTTTGGAATGATTTTCAGAGAAAACATAAATGATAGTCTTTATTTATTGTTTACTCACTTTGGAATACCATAAAATTTATATGTAATATAAAATATATATAAGTAAATTAAATAATTAATTTGAAATTAAATTATAAAATAACATGTGCTTACTTTTTAACCCCTTTTTGGTCTGATTCTAATGTATATAATTACTGTTTGGGGAATTATTCTTTAACCAAAAGTGTAACCAAATTTATGTGTTGATCATGTTAGATGAGCATCATAAAGCATGTCAGTATGAGAGTGTTTGATCAGAACACAAAAAGCATTCTTGCGTGTAAAGAAAAATATTATGCTCTTATGAGCCTCCTTTGAACATATAGGTTCTAATCTGTCAGTTCATCAGGACTTACTGGTACTATGATATTTTCCATTTCTGCGTTATACCATATATTTGGTATCTGCTACCAGAGTAATCTCTTATTTCTTCCCAGTGAATTTTACAATTCTCTCATGATACCACCCTGTGACCACCATATTGCAATAGACCAGAAAGAGAGGCAAGTCCCACCAGTAATATAAGTAAGGGGCCCCTGGGCTCTGTGTCCCCCATACCTGCCTCTTAGATTTTACCATCGACTAGAATTTGGCAGGAAAACAGCTTCAGCATAGTAGCTAATGCTTATTATGTTCACATGTGGTTCTTTTGTAGTGTAATTGGACTCCCAGGAGAAGAAGACTGGCCCAGAGATGTTGCCCTTCCCAGACAGGCTTTTCACTCAAAATCTCCTCAACCAATTGAGAAGTTTGTAACAGATATTGATGAGCAAGGCAAAGACCTACTCCTGGTAAGTTCATGTGGTACAGAGTTGGTCAGCACTGGGCTGAGGAGAGACTTGCCCTGTCCGCTGAGTGGTCTGCTGGGTAGTAGGCACAGCATCAGTTGAGCATCATGTGCCACAACTACACAGGGCTGAGGCCACAACCTCTCTGCAGCTTTCATTTCCACACCTGCAGCAGCTGGTGGCTTTTGATTCTGGAATGTCTTCGTTTCCTATAGAAAGAGTCTGATCTATACACTTTCAGTCTGCCATCTTTAAATGCATTTGAATGCAGCTTTTGAAGCCTCTCCATCCATCTAGACATATGCTTCCGATAAGTATTGAATGTGCCATGAACGTATAAAATACCTCATTGAAAAGGAGGACTCACGTTTGGCTTAAGATTCAGACTTGTAATATTTGGCCTTGTATACAATTCCCTAACGTGGAGGACAGAAAATCAGGTAGGGAGTATACCTATTCAGCTACTCTTGGTACTGAAAACCCAGTGAGTAATGAGTGTATCCTTTACTTACTGAATAATAACCTATGATATCTACCCAAGAGAGTGCTCCCATTCTGTCATTGTATTCTAAATTTCAAATAATAGACCTAAGAGTCTATAGGTCTTAGTAGAAATGTTATACTTTAACTCTGTGCAGACACAGCCATTGATTGGCATGTTTGCAGAGCCACGGATTTTCCCAGTGAAAGCCCTAACTCCCATCTTCGGCTGATGGGGACTCATTTTCTGACCCTTACACTAAGATTTCCTCCACTGCCACATTATAGAGAAGGACAGCTATATTCCCTCCCCACTGTTTGTTTCTAAGACATTCCGTAAGAAGTTTGGCCCATGTCCTTTGAAACAAACTCTTATTAGAAGGGAGAATATTCTCTTATGCAAAAGCTTACTCTACACACTTGCTGGCTCAACTACTATTTAGGAAAATTTTTCCTTGGTTTCAAGTAACAGACAAGTACTTGCATTACCTTAAGAAAAAGAGGTTTGATGGAATGTTTCATGTGGCCTGGAAGTGAAAAGCCATCCAGAGTGTAAATGCTCTCCCAGTCCTGCTAAGAACATCACTTGCTCGTAACAACTCTGCTTTTCTCTGTCCTGTAGGCATTTTCTCCTCTTCATCGTTTCTTTTCAGTAGTGCTCTCTACTCCCCTTAACTTAGGCTGGCCCCCGGCTATCAAATTTTGGCTAACTCCTAGATCCTTTCAGCTCTTACCCCCCACTAGTAACATTTGCTTGTTAGTATTTCCTGCATCAGACTCCTAAAAGGAAGAATGTGGCTGACACGCCTCACCTTTTTGCCAAGCCATGATATATATGGGTTGCTGCCTCGGGCCAGCATTCCTGGTCAAATCAGCTGTGCTGGGAGGAAGGTAGAGGTGATGTGTTATAAAATGGCCACCATAGGCTTCCCTTTTCAGCAAGAACTCTGAATGAAATGCTCCTCTTAGAAGAAGACTCTGGACAGGCAGTCACAAGGATAAACAACTTTAGTAGTAGAGTATATCCCACTCCTTCAGCTACTGGGACATCCAAAGACAACTCAGAGTATCTCCCAACATCATTAGGAATCACCAAGAGGAACTTAAAATGTGAAGCTAGCAGACAGTGCCACATGCTTGCTCGTTCAGTGTCTCCCCTGGTGGTGCTGGCGTTCAAAGTCAGACCACACACTAGTGCTGTACTCAAGAAGTAGCAGGAGACAAGAAAAAGGAACAAAGAAACTACCAAAGAGAGAAGGAAGAGAGTGAACAAGGAGTGTCATCAGAGATTAGAAAGAGCAAAGGAGAGGAATAAGAAGCAGATCCAGTGACCTCAGGACTAGAAGAAACTTAAGGACAAAACATAATAATCTGTGGGCATTCAGGGAAAGGATAGCCCAAGACCTCACAGCCTAGAACCCCTGAATCTCTCACTGTTTCATGCTAAAGGGACAGAAGGTGAAACTATTATAATGCAGAAGAAAGCAGGCTGTTTGGTACCAGATAGGCGGCTGAGATCTCGGCAGGACTTGTTGCCTCTTTTGAAGATTATATACTAAGGAAGAGAAGCGAAGGGTATTTTAGGAAGTTGTTTTATTTAAGAAACTACATTTAAAAGTTTATCACTATAAGAGTTGTCCTTTGTTTTATCTGAAATAAAGGCTGACTATATAATGCTTAGCCATGTATGGATGGATATATGCATTTATAAATGCTCTCACATATGTATGTAAGTTGGGCATAGTAATAAGACCATTCGGGAGGAAAATTATTTTTAACAATCAAAACCTATCCATCTTTACAAGTTTGGTCCCCTTCATCATGGTTAACTGGAGAGGCTGAGTACTTTATTCTTTTGCTGAAAAAAGTTTTAGTTTCTGCTGTCTAACTGCTTCCAGAGCCTAAGGTAGAAATTTGTGGAGACTGGCAGAGGGGACGGTCCTTGAATTAGTCTGCTTTTGCTGCATAACCAACAACCCCCCAAAAATCTCTCTAGCGTATAGCAGCAAACATTTATTTCTTGCTCAGGGGTCCACAGGTGGATAGACAGCTCTGCTTCAGCCTGTGGGTCAAGTACAGGTCTTCTCCATGTGTCTCATTCTAGGGCCCAGAACAAGAAGGGCTTTGGCTCCCCGGAGCACGTTTTTCTCATAATAGACGTTAGATGCTCCCAGAAAGGCAAGCAGAAACACACGATGCCCCTGAAGGCATAGGCTTAGAAGAGGCACCCTGCTACTTCTGTCCACATTTCATTGGCCAAATCAAGTTACATGGCCAAAGCCAACTCTAACAGGAAAAAATACTCCTCCCATGAAGGAGGGGTGGGAAGAAGGATGATCTGTGCTGAAAAATGATCCAGTCTATCATAGTATTCAACTCTTGACTAAATAGCAATTCCAGAAGCACATTTTATAAGTCAGTTATTTGGCAAGTAAATTAGATTTTCTTGGAAAAACAGTATTCTTACGCAAGATTTTGAATTAATTCTCAAGTCATCCAGTTGCTCTGTTGAAGTAGAGCAATGATAGAACTTAGCCACCATTTCTATGTGGTCTATTTCTGTAGACCATAAAGGATTAAGACTTCCAGCTGGAAATTCTCACACACTTCTACGTTAGGCTGAGGATTTCTCCTTCTCTCCACCCTCTTCCCAGTTATAAGTCATCAAGAGCTGTGGGGACAGGCTTCCTCCGAGACAGTCCTCTAGGGACATGTTTCTCTATCTTGAACATATTCCCACAACATTTTTTTCTTCTTCCCTCTGTCCTAGGGATTACATTGGCTCCTTCTTTCTCTAATGCCCCTTCCTAATTTTCTCCTTCCTAGACTCTGGGAAGAAAGAACTCAGGCTCAAGAGTTTTGCCTCTGCTCTTCTGTCCTTACAGAATTTAGCCCATGCAAAACTTTTCTCACGATGTTTATTTCCATTAGAGACAGTGGAACCATTCTCCCAACAAGTTCCCTCATCTGCTTGCCCTTTGGCTCTTTGGTTTTCAGAAGACACTATGAGAAACTGGGATCCATGGACTAGTGAAGAGCTCAGGATAAATAAGATTTCAGGGAACCCAAAATTTGCCTGGAATTATATATAGAATTTTCTATTTGTGAGTGTTTTTCTAGGTCAGTAGCATTCAGCAGAGTGTTAGAGGGGCCCTAATTGTCAAGATCTGATGGAGACTTTGAGCTCCTTGAGGGTAAAAACCCAGATTACATGGAAGAAGTCAGCATAGCCATGATAATGTTAAGTCTTTAGATTACATGGAGGACTGAAATTCACAGACATTTCAAATACCCAGCTCACTTCAGTGGACACTGCATCACGAAGATGGAGAAACTGGTATAGCTTCTCTGCTACTTGTATGCTCCTGGGCAATGGATGGGTCTTACTTATCCCCCACTAGTGCTTACTACCTGCTACACACTCTGGAGGTATTGGTGGAATGACAGGAGGAGGATTTGAAGAGCAGGATTACCTGGGGTTGGCATGGAAATGGAACTAAGATTAGGGAAGCATTCTGCCTAGTTGATTATGAATCATCAGTGTTAGAATGGAGATTGCTGCCCCAGAGATTCACCTTCCACCCCTGCAACCCTTTCACCTTCTACCTACACTTGAGTTGATGGCCTGGAATAGAGCTTAGTACCAGAACTGAACCTAACAGTCATTGCTGCTCCCCATAAGGCACCTAGACATGCACCAGAGGAAGGGATCCCTTCCTCTGGATGATGCAGCCCTGGGGCAGAGTACACAGCTTGCTAGTGGGTCAGGATAAGTTGGGCCTCGATTTTAGCCCTTACTACTTGCCCTCAATAGAGAAAACCTTTATTTCCTGCTTTAAAATGTATTTCCTTTTTTGCTTTTCTTGTTATTTTTGTTTTGCTTTTGATATTAGAAATATGTCAGAAATGGGCACTTGGGTAGCTTAATTGATTAAGGGTCCGACTGTGGCTCAGGTCATGATCTCATGGCTCATGAATTCGAGCACCACATCGGGCTCTGTGCTAACAGCTCAGAGCCTAGAACCTGCTACGGATTCTGTGTCTCCCTCTCTCTCTGACCCTCCCCTGCTCCTGCTCTCTCTCTGTCTTTCAAAAATAAATAAATGTTGAAGAAAAAATTAAAAAGAAGTATGTCAGAAACCATTTACTGTAGTTTAGTAACTACCCTTTTACCCCCGAACAAGACAACCCTATTCCATTCCTGACTCATCAACAAACCTTGGGGAAGGGCAAAAAAAAAAAGGTGACAAATCTGACTACAGCACTAAGTTTGCTAACATTAGAAAAATCACTACCTAAGGGCGCTTGGGTGGCTCAGTCGGTTAAACGTCCAACTTTGGCTCAGGTCGCCCCTCATCTGGCTCTCTCCTGTCAGCACAGAGCCTGCTTCAGATCCTCTGTTCCCCTCTCTGTCTTCCTGTCCCCTTCTCGTGCTCCCTCTGTCTCAAAAATAAATAAACTAAAAGAAGAAAAGTCACTACCTAAATAATAATAATAATAATAATATCTTTTAAAGGACCTAAGGTAGGTAGAAGAGAAAGCCCGAGGAGGTAACAGCCCACACGCAACCCAAAAGCCCAAAAGCTGCTGCTTTTTCCTGAAGGGCAGTTTATACATTGAGGACATATATAAGATTGCTATTGTCTACATTTTATTTAGTATCCCATGAAGTAGGTACTCATTCTGATTCTAGACACACTTAATTCATGGCAGTGAATAAATGTTTAACTGTAAACACAATTTTTTTTTAATTTTTTTTTAAATTTATTTCTAGGAGAGAGAGAGAGAGAGAGAGAGAGAGACAACGTGAGCAGGGGAGGGTCAGAGAGAGAGGGAGTCACAGACTGAAACAGGCTCCAGGCTCTGAGCTGGCAGTCAGCACAGAGCCCGACGCGGGGCTCGAACCCACGAACCGCGAGATCATGACCTAAGCGAAAGTTGGACGCTTAACCGACTAAGCCACCCAGGCGCCCCTAAACACATTATTTAAATGGACATGTTTCACATCAATCAATTATTTTTTCTTTATCACAGAAGTGCCTAACCTTTAATCCAGCCAAAAGAATATCTGCCTACAGTGCCCTGTCTCACCCCTACTTCCATGACCTGGAGAGGTGCAAGGAGAATCTGGATTCCCATCTGCCGCCCAGCCAGAACAGCTCAGAGATGAATACAGCCTGAGGCCCCGACCACCATCTTGAGCTGATCACCGGGAAAACACCCGCTGGGGGCTGATGGGCCCCCCTGAGTAAGCCCTGCAGAGCCACTGAGGATCACTGGCTGGGAACCTTCTAGTTGCCGTCGTCTGGACGGCTCTGCTTCTCCATTGAAAGCGCCTAGTTTACTGTTTTGAAATCAATGCAAGAGCGATTGCAGCTTTATGTTCATTTGTTTGTTTGTTTGTCTGTTTGTTTCAAGAACCTGGAAAAATTCCAGAAGAAGAGAAGCTGCTGACCAATTGTGCTGCCATTTCATTTTTCTAATCTTGAATGCTGCCAGTGTGGAGTGAGCAATCCAGGCACAGCTGAGTTATGATGTAATCTCTCTGCAGCTGCCCGAGCCTGCTTTGGTACTTTTGAGTGAGAGTGTGCACGCGCGTATGCGTGCATGCGTGCATGTGTATGTGTGTGTGTGAGATTCTTGATTTCTTAAAGTGTTACTTTGTGTAAACAAACAACAATAATTGAATTTTAAAGACTCAATCAAAGTGACCTATAAATAACAGGTGTCTATTGACTAAAGGTGACTTACCAGAATGGGCTTCTCAAATTAGACAGTTGAGCCTATGTCCTCAGAATTTCTTTTATGGCCAAAAACTGTAAATTTGTTAGCAGTAAAAGCTTCACTATCTAGATGAAGTTTTATACACACAAAAAAAGGAAAAAAAATGCTAGTATCTTTTAAGAGACCTGTTTTTTAAAGCATACATTCTATTTACTCTTGACAAAAGCTGAATTTACTCATTATAAGTCCATTTTAACCTGTATTATAGGCTTTATTATTTCTTTGAAAAATACCCTATAAGCTTTTTCTTACTTGCTATAGATTTAGGGAGTGTACCTCAAATAGGTAAAATTGTCAAAAAAAAAAAAAATTAGAGAAAGCCTTTATTTCCTGATTTGAAATCTGTTTCCTTTTCGGGTTCTGTTGTTACTTTATTTTGTTTTTTGATTTTAGGAATTTGTCAGAAACTGCCTCCTGTTTTGGTTCGGAGAATAGTTTTCTCTGACAAGACACAGGAATACCATTTAAGTTTTCCCTATTACACTGTACTTTTTCTACCATGCACTGCCTTGTTTGCAGAGTTTCTATCTTATCTATCCCCTAGGGCCTCTATATATATTACTACCATTACATAACTAGTAACAGATTGTTTAAGCCGTTCCCATGCACCTCCTGCTTGCTTTCTTTCAATGAACCTTTTGTAAATAGTTAGATTCAGATTGTGGCTTATGGTTCCAATTCTGCAGTCCTAAGAGGGTCTCATAGGCTCTCACTCCAGTGCGATCTTCCCACCGGCATTCATTGTTGTTCCGTAGGCAGTGGGTGGAGGATTGGCTCTTCTCTATCACCAGCACATAGATCGCTTTAAACTGTTACTTAGTGTTCTACAATTTTTTAGAAGATGTCAGTGTAGAATCGAAGAGAATGTCTTTAACTATTGGTTTTTTTTTTTTAGAAATACATATTTACTCTATAAAGTGATCTTTTCTGCATCTCCCAGGCTGTGCTTGTTTCTAGTGCCTTGTGCATACTCCCGCTCCCTGCAGAGCCAGCCTGACCTGGGCATTGTGAACAGCTTTACTATTTCTCTTGCCATTTTCTCTACCATTCTTTATATTTCATGTCATCTCTGTCTTATATGTGGTTAGTGCTCAGTTAGCTCAAGTATCCCGAAGACACAGAGATGAAGTATCTTTTTGGAAGTTTAGCTATCTTTGCTCTCTGACTCATGTTTTGAGTGCATGCAACAGATAGGCTATGTTTAGAAGTTAGGGTTGTCAAAGAATGAACATTGCTTCACTTAGTAGAAAATGTTCCATTTGATGTTTATATATTGTCTAGCCTTACTGAATTCTTCACAGCTTAACATTCAATACTACCATCTTGAACAGGAGAAAAATTAGACTTTTCTCCTTGAAAAATTTTGGGGTTGAGAATTACTCTTTTTTAATACATATATTGTTTAATTGTTTTCTGATTCAGTAACTTGAAGAGCAGGAAAGTTGGTCTGAAGCTAGAAATGAATGAGAAGATGGGCCACAAGAATGTTTGGTGCTTTCTTCCTTGTTGACAACATTGCTTATGTTTTGTCATCACCGTAAATGCTTGAGATATAATGAATCCACAGCAGTTGGGGCAATGCTTCTACTGGAAAAGGGAGTTCTGCCTTTCCTTTGAAGACATTTTTTTGCTGGGCCCTAGAAATTGAATTTTAAAACTCACTGTACTGATTCATCATCCGCTTTCTGGCTAGTATCCATGGTTAGAGTGAACATAACTTGAGTTTCTACTTTTCTAAGGTTTTTCTAAGTTCTCTAGAAAATGCAGCTGTTCTAAACTGGAATTTTTCAGCATTCTTGGGAATTCTAAACAAGTAGAGAGAGCTCCACTTTATTTCTAGCATATACTTTTGGTTCATTTCTCGGTAGTGTTTATGAAGAAAACTTAAAACCCAAACATTTTGGCATGAGATGCATTAGATGCTTGGCAAATTATCCCCTGAGAGGCAGAAGGAGAGGATATCTCGGCCTCTCTGTCCCCAGATCTCCATCTGTGTAGTTCTTGCAGTTGAGTGATTTCCCTCTTTTTTTTATGTGTTTTACATCTGGGCTCACCAGTTCTGAAATCCAGATGCCACATGAGCCCCCTTGCAAGTGGGGGGCAGTTTAAAGCGTATAGCAGCGTAGGAATTTACTGGATACAGCTTATTCTTCTGTGACATATGGTTTCAAACGTCTTTGCCAAAAGCCAAGCAGTGGTTAGCTAAAAAGGTCATACTGCCCCAGGGATACACTGAAGCAGCTTATATCAGTAAAAAATATGGTGTCAGATTCAAGACCACATTTGAATTCATATTTGAGGGCTGGTGCTAGAATGTGCCTGATAGTTTCTATATGATAGTTGTTCTGGTGGCCCAGGCATTGTGGGAACCATAGTGCACGGTGGAGTTGTAACAATCCCATTTAAGAATAAGAGAGAAACCTGTCCATTTCAGCATCATAAGCTATTCGTGTGGCAAAGGTAACAAGGCTCTAATCTTAGAAACTTAAAAACACAATCCCCAAGAGCGTGTCAGAACCCAGTGCATTGGCACCTCCCACTTTGTCTCTCCTTGAAAGTAGGATAGGAACCCAAGAAGCAGAGAACCTGTTTTATACAAGAGCCTGGAGCCATTTCATCCCTCTATATTCTCATGATTTTTTCTCAGGAATCACACACTAGGAATGGTATATTTTCATTTAGCACAAGGTGTCTTACTAAAAATAGTTCAAAATATTTACCCAGGAATAGCATCTCAGCTGTTTTGAGTAGAAATGAAAATTTCAGAATGCATGAGATGTTAGTGTCTTAAAGAAAATGTTCACGTCTCAATAGAAATATATCATTCTGACTCAAGAACACGGTACTATCCATCTCGGTGAGAAAAAAAACAAAAAAACAAAAAACTAAATAGTACCAAATATTTTGAGTCTTAAATTATGTATTTAAATTGAGCTTTTAACTATATGCCTCTTAAGGTCAGTGATGGCAGTCCTCAAGCCATTATGAAAATTAAAATCATGTAAGCTTCCTAATATCATAGACATATTAAAATTGTTCTCTTCAAAGAGTCACTTCTTTTAAATGACAACTTGGCTAGTTTTATGATCACAGCAGAGAGTGTCTCACATTTACCAAAAGCACTTTTTTGCATAGTCAGGTCTAGGAAAGAGTAATATTAAAAGTTAATAAGGTTCTGTAATTACTTAATTGTGTTAGTACAATGACTATAGAATATTCACCTTGGAAAGAAAATGTTGAGACATTATAAATTCTTAGGTATTGGCAGAATTCAAAAGAATGCATGTTTTACATTGTGACACATAAAAACAGTGTCTTTATTTTAAAAAATAAAGATGTTAACATAATTTCTAAATCTTTAAATGCATAAAACAGTGGACAATAGATAGAGAAAATTCTAGAGAAAATGAAGGTATTCAAAGAAGGATAGTTTCAAAGTTAGACATCTTTTGAAGGATAAATAGTTATTAACAAATATATTGTTAAGAATTTCTATTAAAGTCATCCGGCAACTATGAAGTTGGTATGTTCCAAAACATGTTTTATGAAAAAGCCTTTCCAAGCAGTTACCATTTCAAAGGGTGACATGAGCAAACTATCATACTTCTTCATATTTCGTGGGAAGAAGCAGCCATGTGAAGCTAACACTTGTTCTGCAAGCCTAAGAATGTTCACTGTAAAAAAAAAATAAATAAATTGTAAAAAAGCACATATTTCCTATGCCACCAGGATTTTTTGAAAACTGGTGAAACCCAAACCCTGGATCATGTGTACTTGATACCTTCAGATGTGTGATTTGGAACATAGCTACGTGTTCCTTCTCCACAGTGGAAAAACTTCTGCCTATCATACAGTATAAGTCCCCAGATAATTAGTAGTGGTGTTTTCCTCAAAAGCTTAAGAAAATAGCACTTTCAACTTTTATTAATGCAATTTTCAATTTAGTTTTGTTACATACCTATATCTCTTGTACTTTTTCAGAGAATAAACCAAAATATTCCTTTGGCCTTTTCTACTGCCTTTTGTAAACAACAGAAATGTAGAAGGAGGAGGGGCTGATTTTTAAATGCTTTCTTTTTCCTCAGTTAGTTGTTCGTTTGTTTTAATGACGTACAAATCAGCTCTTCAAAATGTTTTCTATTTCTTAGCATTCCCAGGGAGTTTAGATAAATGAATGAACTTCCATCAACATATTTATGTTTCCTTGATACCGGTGCTCTGGCTGTCAAGAAGAAAACAAGAGCCTTTTGAAAATTAATACAGGCTTTTTTCAAGCATCTATTTAAATATTGTTACAGCAGTCTGAAGGTTATATGGTAGGAAAGTGAGTTGATTTTTCTTGGAAACGTCTATTTTAAAATTCACACTGTCCTAAGACATGGGCTTTCTTGTTTTATTCCAGTATTTTCCACAAGGTGGCACTTTCAGGGGTGGGCGGGAGAGGGAATCTGAGCAAGGCTAAAGAGGTACTTCTAAAGACTTCATTCTAACTTTATTTTTCTGCACATATTTTACTCTTGCTTAGCACATGTTCGTCAGGATGATGAATAGTGTTCATAACATTCTATAACTTAGGTATTTCAGTTGTTAGCTAGGTTCTGAATGATTATCTGCAAGGAAGTTGTTCTTGAGAATGGATACTATACCCATTTTGATCATTTAAGTGTGTAAAGAGAGCCTAGTCATCCATTTTTTCAAGAAGCATTTTTTCTCGAGGTATCTAATTACCTCACTTTTTCCAGGTGCAGAAGTTTCAAGATGGACGGGCTTATTAGCTAAAAGGCAACATTCATCTGTGAACAGGGTAGTTTTGTTAGGAATGTAAAAGTCCTCCAGTGGTCTCAGCCAAAATACCTATGTCCGCTGTCTGCTGTTCTCATATTTCCTACCATGATGGCCTTTAGACGCTGATTAAAAATTGAAATCCTCATTTAAAGATCAGATGAGCAAAGAAGTAAATATTTAAGTGCACAAAACTATTTTTTCTGAAGAATTGCCATGCTGAAATAGAGCCTTTAAATACTGAAAGACCTGGTAATTTTTTTTTTTAATTTATGTAATCACAAGTGTAAATTCATAAGAAATTCTAATTTTTTTAAAAAATCCTGCCAAGTGTGTGACCATAATAACCTAGGAATATATTTACATAAATCTTTAATTTCTCCCCTGGTGAATTTCCTTGGCAATTTTATATATATCTGCACACACTCCTATGTTTTATTTCACAGGTCTGTTCAGAGACTCATTAGCCCCCAGATGATTTTAGTTAATTTTAGAAATCATTTTCCTCGATAAGTGTCACAGGAATTTAGGAGGGAGGAAATTGTATTTTTCAGAGTTTCTTTAGCACAGCAGAAGAGAAGGCAGTTTATTCCTCCTGAGTGGCAGAAACTTGATAGTGCCTGCCTAACTTTCCTGCAGAGGAGCTCACTAATTCATACTGAATCCAAATGGCGCACACACTAGGGGCTGTCAAAAGCTCTTCGGGAACCTAGCCTCGTCCCTCTGCTCAAAATCCCACCGAAGTAGATTCCAATGTAAGCCCCTACATGGAAGGCCGAATTCCAACCTCGAGTCTGTTCCCAGTTGGGCCATTCTGAACTCTATTTGCTCGCGGTGAACACTTGACGCCCACCTGGAAACCCTCCGGGTGTGCAGCGCCGTCGCCCGCCCCTTTGGCCGTGGAGCGGCAGTGGGCGGGGCTAGCTGGGCCCCGCCCGCCGCTCGCCTGTTAGTGCCTGAAATAGCGTACAGACCCCGAGGGCTGCTGTCCGAGGTCCATGTGCCCTGCTGCTGTCTCAGAGGCACCTGTTCTGCAGTCTTAGGAAGTAGAATGTCCCTAGAAGCAAACGGGTGTCTTCTGTGCATAAGTAAGTACAACACAATTCTTCGAAAGTTCGGGTATAAAGAGATGCTGGTCTGTATGAAGCGTCTACCAGGCATCTCTCAAGCTCTAAGCTCAGCTTTTTTTTTTTTTTTTTTTAAGAGAAAGATGTATAATTACAGGAAAGATTTTTTATTTTTTTATTTTCTATCATTCTACGTATATGATGGCAAAAGATAATGCGTGGAAAAGGTTTTTTTTTTTTTTTGAAAAATGTGTTTATTTTCTGCTTAGGCAAAAGCTCCTCTTTTTTTTCTGATTTCTTGTTTTTGTCGAATAGTTAAAAGGTATATAAGCAAATTATCTCATGTAGTAGGGGATTTTCCTGTTTAGAGGAACCTTTTGTGTGATTTGTTTTGTCAAGCAAATAACCTCTCTTCTACACTAGGAGTTTGGACTGTCAAATACAGGTTTCCTTAAAGGGGGCACACAACTGTACATATTACTATAAAGAACTTTGACCATAGCACTAATGAGCAAGCACAGAGCCCCACGCAGTTCATTTTATTTCTAACAAGCGCTGTGATTTCTGGCCAAATTCTGTTGACATGTTTAGGTTCGATCCTGAAGATACCTTTGTACCCTTACCTTGAAGGTTTCTACTCTTACTTGTTTTGAGATGCAATAATATGTATTAGCTAGCAATATTTCTGTGATCACCAGCAACTCCTAATTTAACCTAGAAGTCTCTGAATAATGAAAATAGATCTCAGCAGTAATACATTTCTTCAACCACCACCCCTCCCCCCAAGTGCATTATATACCTTGTCATTTTGGTCCTAAGTTTGCAGCAATGTATACGTGAATATTGGAGTTCCTCACTTAACTTTGTATGCATGTGTTTTCCTATGACCGGTAATAAATATATTAGTTAGTACATGGAATAAATAGCAGCAACGACACCTAGAATCAGCACTTAACAAGGTGAGGAATTTCTATTTCAAGTTGTTCTGCATTTGCGTAAATTATTTCTATTATTATTCATGTATGTTATTTATTTCTGAATCACACTAGTCCTGTGAAAGCGCGCCTTAAAAGACATGGCATTAGGATTTGCATTTAATGTTCATTATCATGGTCTTGATGGAGCTAAGTAAATTAAAATTAGACTAAGCCCCAAAATAAGCTGCATGCATTTTAACATGAATAGTAGAACTTCAGTTTGTAGGTGTGATATTTTTGTATCTAGGTGTTTTATCATGATGCAAAGGAATTCAAGCGATGGACTTTGTATCTTTTCTTTTGTCAAATATGCATATGGTATAGTGTGAAAATACAGCAAAAATTAAAACTTCAAATAGAAAAGCATCAGATACTGCCTTAACTTAGGAACTCTGCCAGATGGCCATCAGAGTAGAGGCCAGGCAGACAGGGGCCTGGGTGGTGCCTCCTCTTACCTGGCCTCGAGAAGCAGCTTTCCCCCCGCCATCTAGTGCCCTCCTGGTATCATGTGCCTTAGTGAGAATAGGTGGTCCTGTTTCAAGAACAGTGGGAGAGTTTTCTGTAGAAGCAAACTGTCAGCCTTGAGGCTTCCAGAATGTGTCAGTTGGAGAAGTTCACGTTTCTGTGCTTCAAGCGCCTTGATTTTGTACAGAAACAATTCACTCTGGTTACAAAAGCAAGGACTGCATGTCTGGTAGTCAGCAATGGATTTTAACCGGCAATCCCCAGCACCTCAGAAGCATGTTGCATTTCTGGTATTTTAGGTTTTGATCTGAAGGTTCATTGGCAAGTGTTTGGTGTAGAAGAACAACAGTAGGTGTTAAGAAAAGCACAGTATCGGTTCCCGTAGAAATTAGAACTAGAGGGTTTTATAGGATTAACATGTCAGAAATGTCTAAATGCATGTTTTCACTGTAGAATGTAGTAGCCTAGTGTTTTTGCATTCCCATAGGGCCTAGTTAAAGCTTTTATTCGAGGGTTTCAGCAAAGCTGTCATACCCCGTAAGCTTTTTCTTTTGTTTTTCTTTTCTTTTTTTTTTTTTTTTTTTTTTTTGGACTTAGAATTTTTTTTTTTTTTTTTTTTAGAAAATGTGTTAAACGTAGGGAAAAACTCGTAATGTGGATATTTGACTTGGTTTCTGTGTTTGAAGTCACGGTTCTGGAGATGTAAAGATTGNGTCAGAAATGTCTAAATGCATGTTTTCACTGTAGAATGTAGTAGCCTAGTGTTTTTGCATTCCCATAGGGCCTAGTTAAAGCTTTTATTCGAGGGTCTAGTTAAAGCTTTCATACGAGGGTTTCAGCAAAGCTGTCATACCCCGTAAGTTTTTTTTTTTTTTTTTTTTTTCTTTTTTTTTTTTTTTTTTTTTTTGGACTTAGAAAATGTGTTAAACGTAGGGAAAAACTCGTAATGTGGATATTTGACTTGGTTTCTGTGTTTGAAGTCACGGTTCTGGAGATGTAAAGATTGTGCATGTGCACATCCGATGCTAATCTAGGCTGTGTGAACCAGCCCCGGGTAACCCATGTCCTCCCAAGCCCCGCGTCCTTCCTCGCTCACACTGCTCCCTGCCCGTGTCCCATCCGGACTGTCTGCGTGGTGCTCTTTATTCTCTTCGGCCGCTCTCTGGGCATCAGGGACATGATAAGAGAGATGCTTTGGGCATCACAGTGTGTGTGCCTGCTGAGGCTTGGCCACCACTTTTACTTGACCTTCGGCTGGGCACAGAGTGTGCTCACAACACCAGTCACAGATACCTTCTAGCATGTTTGTATGCATCTTGATTTCCAAGCCAAGTCCTTCTACAGAGCATTCAGTTTTGGCTGTGGTACAAAGGAAAAAAAAACTAAACAAGACTATAAACCACATTCCAGGCTGCTGTTTTCTATCCATCTACAGGCCATACTTTTACTGTATTTCTTCATACTTGAAACTCATTCTGCTATTTTGATATCAGGGTACAGACGTATAAGGGTGCATGTTCCTTAAAGGTGCAAAATTCCTCTCATTCCGTTGGCTCATATTGCTACAGAATGCTGTTTTGGTGCTTTGAGTTGAGCAGGTCAAAAAAGCAGTGTGGAAATTCACTGCCTGGAACACAGTCTTAACAAGAATGTTGGCAGATGGCTTGGTGTTAGATATTGCTTCTGCTCTTTTCTCTGTACACAGGGTTGAAAGTTACCACACTGGCCCGTCAGGTTCACCTGGGTATCCTTTCTCACAGAGCACAGAAACCCTGTGCTCTCCCCAAATCTGGGTGCGGTGCAGCTCTCTGAAAGCAGGGCCCTTCCTACTACCGGATCATTTAGCCCCCAAAGAAAAATGGCTGTGGGTATAGACAGGGGCAGAATGAGAAAGGCCCTCTCACTCTAGCGACCATCCCTCCATTCCATACAGAAAGCTTTCCTGGGGCAACAAAGAAAGAAAGAAGAAAAGAGAAAGAAAGCTTCTCTGTAAAGATACCCCTTCGTAGCATCCTGAGCTGAATCATCTTGCTTCTTTCCCTTTAGGTAGTTGAAAATACAGGTCAGTTTATCTAGACTGTCCCCACCTGAAGAGGAAAACAGAAAAATAGATTGTTTTTATCATGTAAAACGTGTAATCCAAGTACTACCAAAACTTACATTAAATCCCCCATCACTAGAAATCTGTTTTAAAAAGTAGCTGAAGTAAAAGATGTTTTATGACCGGGACTGCCTGAGGTCAGGGGCAGCCATTCTAGCATGCGTCGTACTCTTAAGACTTATTTGGAGAGAGAAAGAACTGCCAGTGTTGACGCTGTTACAATGGCAAAGGTAACGCGTCAGGAAATTCAGAGGGTTGCAGATCACAAATCCTTTGGAAACTGGATGTCTTACCGGGTGCTAGAATGCAAATTTAGGTATTTATTGTCAGATAATGGAATTCATTGTTTTTTAAGAATTAGTGTTGAAACGTCACTGTCCAGTTCATTGTTTTCACTTGTGCACAAGCAATATTGAGGCAAAAAGGGCAAATGGTTTGTATATTTGTCATACCTTTTGTATTTCTTACAATAAAAATATTGGTGGCAAATAAAAATAATAAAAAAACCAACATTCTTAGACTGCTTTCTTGGAGATGAATTACTATCCAAGCTATTTTTTTTCTTTTTACTTAATGTAAAATGAATATAATTGCTGTGAGTAAAGTAACTTATAATTAAATAGCAAATTTTAGCACGATGTTCCCAACTTTTGTTACAAGAGACTCCTTTTCAGGCTTCAAATGTATTTAAAAACAAAGTAGCCCATTGAGCTTAAAGCTTCAGTAACAAATGTTAGGTAGCTCTTACTAGTTCACTGTGCAAAACTCTCACAACCTGAGTGACTAAGACACGGCAGTCCTTTCCAAAGTTCACAGATGGGGGACCATGAAAAGGTTTATGTGACCAACTGCTGATAACCCAGAGATGAGCAGAGGTTTCCCACTGGAAATGCTGCTTGAGTGGACAAGGTCCACCAAACATACAAGCAGAAATACTTTGCATGTGCAAAGGCATGCAATTATGAAAGAAGGAGCAAGAAGATTGGTGAGGCCACCCCGGGGGCAGTAGCTGGTAACATGGATCATAACCTACAAAAAGACCTATACTCTCACAGCATGACCTGGTATACACACATGTGAGCAGATCCACACATGCATATACTGGAAACTTAAATTTCTCAAAATGATGCTGGGTGCCCCACATGTTCTCTTTTATATTTTATTATCCTCCACTCTTTGAAAAAACTGGTGGCAACCCACCAAACTGATTTCATAACCCCACTAATAGGCCATGACTGGCAGTTTGAAAACGGGGGGTGGGGGGGAGGGTTGTGCAAATCTGGAGGTGATGTTGAAAAGGGTTTAATATGCCATATAAAGGAATTTGGAACCACTGAAGGGTGTTAAAGAGGAAGACAATTTCTGTTAATATGTGCCTCTTCTTGTTCAACTGCTTATACGCTGACACAGAGTGATAGACGAAGCGGCTACTGAGATACTACACAACAAATCAGACGTGTTGCTTTCTGATACATTTTCCTCTTTGTGTGTGATGTCAGGTATTTTTAAAGTAGTCCTCCAGAATTCCCTGGGAGCTCTTAGCAGGACATGCCTTAATTTTGTTTAACAGGTCCTGAATTGCATCTAAATTTTAAAATTTTCCATGAAATATTCAGGAGGGATAATACAGAAAGCCAAGAATATGGTCTTTATTTAAAAATTTGGAAGTTTGGAGCACCAGGGTGGCTCAGTCAATTGAGTGTCTGACTTCGGCTCAGGTCATGATCTCACGGTTTGTAGGTTCAAGGTCAGTGTCGGCCTCTGTGCTGACAGCTCAGAGCCTGCAGCCTGCTTCAGATTTTGGGTCTCTCTCTCTCTCTCTCTCTCTCTCTCTCTGCCCCATCTCCACTTGTGCTCACTCTCTCAAAAATAAACGAATATTTTTTTTAAAAAAAGAAATTGAAACTTTGTAGTTGAAGAGGTCGCTCATATGTTTCCACAAACTGTGGGCATCTACAACCAGGTTTGTCTGGACCATTTTCTTCAAAACAGCATACAGAAAGATCCTTCAGTTGAGCTCCAGTTATCTCTGCTGCACTCACTTAAAATTTCATCCCATTAAAAGTCCAAAGGCATTTGCCACTGAATTTTGCCCTTTGAAGTGTCATCCTAGTTTACTGCTCTCTGGGGAAAAATTCCCAGCAAGGATGGGCCCCAGGAGATTATCTTTGTTCTGCAAATGCCCCCTTTCCTGGATGGAGCAGATGGAGCCAGCCATAGTATCCCAGGGGATATGGGACCAAGAGACCATCCGTCTCTTCTACGTCTGTCTGAGTGTGCTATCTATAAATTTAGAGCTGCAGATAGCTGTGTCTCTCCCTGTGTGCCCAGGGGATCACGGGGTGCTGATTCGTGGAGATGGAGATGGTAATATGCAGAGACTGGATCCAGACAACACCGTCTGGCTACTCTTCCTCAGGCCCTGATACTCCACATATCCTTAAAATGAAGTGTGTCTCTAGCTTTTTTTCTTTTCTCCAATTAACTTACGTAGCTCAAGTAAATTTCTATCAATTACAGCAAAAATCCTAACCCAGCTCCCTCTCTCTGTCAGTACTATAACTTGAGGCCGTTGCTCTGCACTGCAATTTCAAGCTATTGAAAAGTGAAGTGCAATAGTGTCCTTATTTAAATATGGATAAAAACCACGATAGTGGAGCCTGCACTTTTCAAATGGGGATTCCTGGATATCTGGAGTACACACAGGAGAATACAGAGCTACACATAAAAAGATCTACATTCCTCAAACATCAGTTTTTGCTTCAAAGATAAAAATGTTTCATGAAGAAAGACACTATTTTTAAAATACATTTAAAAAGACAGGAATAGAATGCAAATTCAAATTTTTATAATAATATAGATGACTTCAAAGACATTTCATGACTTGAGTAACTGCACAGGACCACTACATCACCAGACCCCATCCCTATTACAATTCATTCTCCTGCAGAGCATTTTGAGAAGGACTGCAGGAGTGCAGAAGAGACATTAGCACTTGGAATGGGGTCCATTGTTCTCAATCCTGTCCCTCCTTTGGTCTCCATGATTCCTCATTGGAAAATGACATCTATTATGACAGTGTATTGAAAAAGCTGATAAGGAATGTCAAGTTGACTCCTCTTCACTCAACATCTACTAGTGGCCTCAAATCTTTTTTTTTTTTTTTAATATTTTTATTTCTTTCTAGGAGAGAGAGAGAGAGACAGCGTGAGCAGGGGAGGGTCAGAGAGAGAGGGAGTCACAGACTGAAACAGGCTCCAGGCTCNTTGGAATTCTTCTCCACTAAGCTTGCCTTTGGCCCTGAGAGGATCATCCTGGCCATTTATGTGGGTGGCAGTGAAGTATTTTTTTTTTTTAATATTTTTATTTATTTCTAGGAGAGAGAGAGAGAGACAGCGCAAGCAGGGGAGGGTCAGAGAGAGAGGGAGTCACAGACTGAAACAGGCTCCAGGCTCTGAGCTGGCAGTCAGCACAGAGCCCGACGCGGGGCTCGAACCCACGAACCGTGAGA